CACCCACATCCCCCCACCCACACACATCCCCCCACACCCACACACACACACACTCACAGATAAGGTATACACGGAGGTGGAGTCTCCGACAGTGTCTGTCTGTACACGCGGAATGACGACGAACTGTCAATCAACTGGCACAACTCTTGTAGAACCTGAAATCAAAGACAAAATTGTGTTTTGGTTTAGTAAGAGATTTATGGCACTGGCAACTGCATAAGGTCATGTGAGCGTGCGAAACACAAGATGGTTGCAGCCACCACAGTTCACAGCACGGTATGGCTTAGGTCAATGATCGGATTAAAATGTTTAAAAAATCCGAGTTAAAATAACGACCTCAGAAGGACAATTTACTTAATGTTAAAACAACAGTATTCACAATTTACTGTAAAGGCTAATGGCCTTCATAAAATCGAGAATTCTGTTGGGATCAACGACAGGGAACAGATCTTGCAATTTTTTGCATTTAAAATACTTACTTTGAGTCTCTCCAAAGTCAAAACTGTGTGAAGATATGCCAAACCTACTGTTGCACTGTATATCATTGCGTGAAGAACGCAACTTTTTACCTTCATAGCAGGGCTTCAAAGTTGCCCTACATCTTACCCATGAGATCCAAAATAAGACCCCAAAAATAACAGTGGGGCCAGATCTAGGCAACATACTAAGTGGGACAGATAATCAATACGGTAAAATGGCATCGGTAGTCTAGTAGTTGAGCGACCAGACTCCCAGAAGTCAGGTTGCTGGCTAGAGGGTCTGAGGCTTAGACCCGAAGTTGTGTCCTTGGGAAAGGCACTCTACACCAACTTTCCTCACTCTATCCAGGAAGTTGAGGTGCAAACACTATTTTATCAGCAACATGAGAATTTGGTGAATTTAGAAAGTGAAATTTATCAACTTATAGTTTTGGACCACATAGAGTGCTGTCATTCTTTTTAAAAGTTTTAGTAAACTTTTTACAGCATTTGCAACACAATTAGGTCATACAAGTGCCGAAGACTAGAGGTGTTTCAAGAGTGTTGATACACAAAAAAGGAGAAATCAGGACGATTAGATATCTGATAGGAAAGGAGGAGCAAACCACACCGGAGCACCCGCCGACCACCCACATTCTACTTTGAGACAGACCTCCACACAAGAGCATGCCTGACACGACTGGGCGGGACAGGGGGAGACGACTCACCTCAACGTTCTGTTTCTGCCACTCGAGGCGATGCACCGGAGCCGAGTTCAGCGCTGACAGGATGGCCAGGTACGAGTTAAAGTTGTGCAGCTTACGCAGGTGCTGGAGGGGGGAACGGAATAGAAAGTCAAAACTTTTCTCTCACTTTTGAAAAGTGATGTTCGTTTTTGTTTTAATAAAGAGTTTTACAGCACTTGCAACACAATAAGGTCATATAAAAGTCATAGATTAGAGGCATTACAAGAGAGTAACAAACACAAACGATTAGAAGAAGAGAAAAGCAGGATAGATGTTTGATAGGAAAGAAGGAGCACATCACCTCAGAGCAACCGCCAACCACACACTAATATAGTCCGTCAAAGAGCTAAAAGTAGACTCAAAAAGATATGAAAAGTTAAATATAATATAACATATATAAAAACAAAATCCTAATCTCTTACCCGCATGATTTTGATGAACTTCATGAGGTATCTCTCTCTCTCCCGTGGGTCGTCCTGAGTGAGGATACGTGTGCAGCACCTGGGGGGGGGGGGGACAGGAGCAATTGTTTTATACAGAGAGAATATTACGGCACTTGTCACACAACTGGTAACCTTTAAGGACAAGCAGGCTAACTCAGATATCGGGGTTTCATAAAATCTTGACCAACACTAATATTGGGCATGGCCCTACGTATAGGAAAAGTTTGGTTTCATTGGCGTGTATATTTGTTCGGTTATAGAGAAAACTCTCCTTGTCTTTTAAAGAAACTGAACAAGTGCACAGGGGTAAAAAAACTTTACCTAAAATTTTCTAAAAACAGCATTTTCGGGATAGCCCCCTTGTGCTTAAAGGCGACCAATTATGTCTTGTAAGTGCGGTAGTTTAACTTTAATTCCCTAAACATGGGAGAGCGTAGCTTTCGACAGACCAAGATAAAGAGCAGCAATCACAGAGGGTAGCAAATCATATCAGGGGTGTCGATAGCAATCCACTTTAAGTTCATTTGGGTACTTTTTAAACCAAAGACAAAAAAAATATAGTTTTTGTTGTACTGTTCCTATCAGGAATCATGAAAAGCAAGAGAATTGTAAGCCTTAACCATAGCATTAAACTGCATTTTGGTGATGCTGAAAAGTGTATCTTTGCCAGAGCTTTGGGAGGATGTAAATAAACAATCCTCAAAATGTGGATTGCTTGCAAAAGCGACGACATGAGGCTTCACAAATTAGAAATGTTGAAGCCAAGAGATAAGCCCTTAAGTTCCACACCCACCTATACCAGTGAAAACATGAAGAAGCTTTTAAAAGCTCAGAATGTGGCAACCTCTTCTCTGCCAGAATTGGTGTCATCGGCCACAGTAGAAGCTACAGATCAACTTCATCCTTATTTCTTTTATTTTGCTGAAGAAATATTATTTTTCTACATAAAAACTGGTCATTTTCAGACACTAATGAACTATTACTATAGAGTCTTCGAAAATCGCTTTGCCATGAGAAAGAAATACATGCATACATAAAAAAAAGTCTTTGAAGGTACCCTTCATATCTATACCGACTAGAGTGGCTTCAGTTTCGAGAAAAAATCAATCTTGAATCTTGCCATGCCAACAGCCCCTAAGACAACTTGGAGACTTGTGGAAAGAGTACACATCCCCCTCACAACATAACATCCCCCCCC